CTTCACCTACGGTTCCTTCTGGTTCTTCACAGCTGGAAACCAATGCCTGCAATGATGTAATAAAGTGTAAACAGGGAATTGAAGCCGGCAGTCAGGACAAATGTTAACCCTCCTGTCTAAAATGTCAGCCTGCACCTCGTGCATCTCCTCTTAGTTGGCCAGGCTGAGGCAAAGAGAGTAGTCACTGAGGTGGCAGACAACAGCTGGAACACTGCTGTGGAGAGGAGTAGGAAAGGTGTTAAAGGTTCAGGAAAATCTGCAAGATAGCCCCATGCAACGCTACAGGCGTAGGGAAGTGGCCAGCAGGACCAGGGAGGTGATCGTCCCCCTGTACTCGGCACTGGTGAGGCCGCACCTTGAATCCTGTGTTCAGTTTTGGGCCCCTCACTACAAGAAGGACATTGAGGTGCTGGATGATCTTAAAGGTCTTTTCCAACCGAAATGATTTTATGATCTGGGTGCTCAGGGGCTGTGACAGCCTCAAGAGCTGTCCAGTGCCACACTAGAGGTATCCGTAGCAGGACGATGGTATGAAGAGGAGGTGTGAGGAGGACTGGGTAGAAGGATTCACAACTTGATGTTAGCCACGTTTAGCTTGTGCTGACTGACAGTTCATTAGAAAATTCCTGTGAGAAAATGTCTGACATGAAATATAGTTGTTACCAGATACAGCAGATAAAGTCAAATTTTTAAATGTAATTAGGAAAGATGATCTTATAAGTGCATGCACATATTTCAGTTTGCAATTTGAAGGAAATAAATTAGTCTGAGAAAACAGTTGTTACAAGAAAGAATTGATTCAGCAATTCTATTTCCCACAAGTCTGTCGAGGAGCCATTTAGGCAGATCTGGACATACTAGGTCAAAGCAAAGTGAAGACGGTTGTAAAATTCACAGCTGAAAGTGTTTCTCCTTTATTTTCAACCCAGTTAAAGGAAAAAAATGCTTGTCCAGGTTATTAAAACCTATTGACAGGACAGATAGTGTCTACCTGTGGAGCACTTCTTGTGGCTTTATACTTTTAGATAAGGAGAAAATGTTTTTATATCAGTATAGGTGAATTTTGATGGGTTTGTTTTCCTGCTGTAGACTTCATGCTTTCATCTTAACCTTTTATTCTTTCCTGAGGCATTCATCCCATCTGCTGAATTAGACAAGAATTGTATAAATAAAAGTAGGAAGTGGTTGTGTAATTAGAGTCCATCATAATGTAAATGTTTCTCCAGAATTAATTCAGGTCATCTCAGCCAGCTTCACTGGCATAGTCCACATTTATAGTGCCTGACTTTGCTACCTGAGTGTTCGTTGTTACCTGTAATCGTCTGACCCTGCATCAAGGATTGAACTCTTTTTGCAGCAGACTTGCTTCCCTTCCCTCCTCAGTGTTGCTCCACAAACATTCTCCTGAGGGAGAAGCTGTCGCCTGAGGAGGGTGTAGTGTTGTCTGTCAGTTTTAGTCATCAGGCAAATTAAGCTGTCTCAGCCAAATGTGTATTTATGTAATCGCTACTCTTTCTGCGTTACTACCTTTCTTGGATATTGCAAACTTGTGTCTGCTGTGAATCCCCTAGATATGGACTGCTGAATTCATTTAGCAAGTCTGAAGTTTGTCAGTAGAGTTTTTGACTTTGTTCTTCCTCCTCCTCCCCTTTGATGCCCTTCATTTCCTTGGACTCCTCTTGCAGAAATCCAGCTACTCAACTGGGAGGTGGCTGTAGACAGCAACTGGAAGTTGGCCGTGTCCTTTGTCACGCTTATTTTTATGGAAACAGGTTTCCCTTGAGTATTGGCTGTTCTGTTGAAACAAATAATACGTTATCCAGAAAATCAAGCGTTTTTCTGATTATAAAGCATTGTGACCTCCATTATTCTGAACTTGGGAGGAAATCATGTGGCGAGACTAGCAATTTGTAAGTGTTTCTGTTTTGAATACTGTCATATACAATGGAAAAGGCAGTTTGGTGGGCTAATATATTCCCTGAAGTACAATTACTGATTTTGTTTGTAATTTTGAGTGCTTTTTCATAACCTGCTTTACAGTGAAAGTATTTCTAACTGCAGAATGACTGTTTAAGAATTCTTTTTTTCTGGGACATAACTCAGGAAAATAGGTCTATGCCTCTCTGTTCTCTCTAGAATGTTCCCTAAACTTGGAATACTCCTCAGATTAAATGAGAAACTAGTATGTTTAGAAACCGAAACAAAAGCTAGAGCTAACAACAGTCAGCTGGGCTAATACTAATTAGTAATGCCTCTGTTTTCTTCAGTGTGTTACTCCTGTTCTCTTGAATTTTTTTTCATGGGCTTATAAGTACATAGTGTCTTGAATCGTTGTGTGATCACTGAAATCTAAAACGAGATGACAAAAAAGGAATGTTTTTTCAAAGCAGAAAATTTGGTACTGTTAAAGACCTAAATTTTGACTGCACTGTATGGACTTATTCTCAAAAGTAATAGGTGATAGTGTTCTATTTGTTCTTTTTATTTTGCTGCTTTCTGTAGTCCCTCTCTGTAGGCCTGTGCTCATGTTCTGAACAACTGCAGAGTGAGTGCGTGTCATGGTTTAACCCCAGTCGGCAACTGAGCACCACCCAGCTGCTCGCTCACCCTCCCCTCCCCACAGTGGGATGGGGGAGAGAGTTGAGGGGGCAGGGTAAAAACCCTGGGTTGAGATAAAGACAGTTTAATAGGACAGCAGAGGAAGAGGAAATAATGATGACGATGATGAAAGAACATACAAAAGAAGTGATGCACAATGCAATTGCTCACCACCCACTGACCAATGCCCAGCCCGTCCCCGAGCAGCGATCGCTGCCCCCCAGCCAACTCCCCCCAGTTTATATACTGACCATGACATCATATGGTACGGAATAGCCCTTTGGTACGGAATAGCTGTGGCCAGTCTGGGCCAGCTGTCCTGGCTGTGCTCCCTCCCAGCTTCTGGTGCACCTGGCAGAGCATGGGAAGCTGAGAAGTCCTTGACTAGTACAAGCACTACTTAGCAACAACTAAAACATCCGTGTGTTATCAACGTTATTCTCATCCTAAATCTCAAACACAGCACTATACCAGCTACTAGGAAGAAAATCAACTCTATCCCAGCTGAAACCTGGACAGTACACAAGCAAATCTTCATGATGAAATGGTTGGCTATTTCATTAATATAGGTGGTCTTCCTCAAGAATAAGACATCAAAACAATCTGAAGATCTTTCAGAAGATGCTCTCTGTAACGAATTCTAGTTATTCTGTTTGTTCCTGTCTCCTGACAAGCCAGAGTAACTCACTGGAAACAGCTGCGGACTTAGTTATAAACAACTTTTGCCTCTTTTTGACCTCGTGCTCAACAGGAGCACCGTGGTTGCGCAAAACAAACCAGTTCTGTTGTAAGGTGACTAAGTTCCATAACTGTATCTTTGATGTACATAACTCTTGGAGTAATGTTTTGGGTTTGTTTTTTTTTTTTTTTTTGCATATGTAACCAACCTGTTAACAAGCTGCTTTAAAATTTACGTGTGATTTTTCAGATGGAGGCAATGGCACCAACAGAAAAAAAAGTTCTTGCTGCAGAAGACTATAAATAAGCATAATTTATTAACTCCTTTAACACCATGATGCATGCTAATGTGTTTTTTAATTACATAGTGTATGAAAGTTTTTAAAAATAAGCACTTTCAACGTTTAGTTCAAGTGATATGAGGACCTTTTAGTGCAGGTATGGTTCTGGAAGTTCCACCAGGGTAGCTGAGGGACTAAAGAAAAAACTCTGATGTTTCCATATGTGATAACAGGAAAAGTGACTGTATCAGTCTCTTAACTTAGATCTTCAAATAGGTTTTGCAAACCCGGTGTTCCCAAGGACAAAAGCCTAGGGCATGCTGCAGATCCTTTTGCCTATTGCTTGTAAAGAATCCAAGTTTGACCCTCTTGAACAAGCTGGAGGTTTCCCTCATGCTTTATTTTGAGTGAGTCAAGCTAATTCTTTTGGGTGAAAGCGTAGTTGTAATGGCACTTAAAAGTTTCAGCAGTATAAAACAATCTGAAGGAAGGTGAAGACATGGCTTCAAACATTTCACAACTGTCTTACAGTGACCATATTTTATTTTTTCTGCTGCAGTTCATAGATTTGAATGTGTTGGTAATTAATGAAAATACAGGATTCCTGCTTTCTCTGCTATTTGCAAAAATAAGGAGGGTTGGTTGTTTTGGGTTTTTTTTTTTTGCTTTATTTAGATATGCATGAGCTTTTAAGAATGTAAAGTGAAGAAATGCTAGCACTTAGGAATATTTCTGAGATAATTCACAATGAAGGCTCTCTTATGAAAAACAATTTAAGTATTATCAAACTAGTTGCTTGAGTACTACCAGGTGTGTGATGGTGTGTGTTGTGTCGTTACCTGTCCTGTCCCTCAATTCCCCTGTTCCCCAAAACTAAGAAACAAATTTTCTGGGTTATAATACAGGACTATTTCTTACATTTCTGGTGTCCTTATTTGTGCCTAGTCTTTGGGCTGGGGTAGATAGCTCTGTATCTTACAGAGGCATCCCTGCAGTTTCTGTGCCAAGTGTCCAATTGCTACCATTCTTTCCCGCTCCAAGCATGAGGCCTTTCAGCTTTTCCTTTCAGAGAGTGCTTTCTAGCCAATTTGTTTAATTTCTGATGCTGAGAAACATTCTGTGAGTTTTGTGACCCTCTCAGCCACAGTGAATAATTCATTAACAAATCACAAACTAAAATGGTTTGCACAGATTGTCACACAACTTTATTTTTTAACAACTTCAACAGAAAATAGGGCTATAATTGGCAGATAGGCATTTGGCACTGCTCTGGAGCTTTTCTGTATGGATACTTTAACTCAAAGTAGGTCAGAGTTATAACAAAAAGATCTATTTCTGTCTAACTGAGTTGTCACACTCTGAGGTTCTCAAATAAGTAGAAGTTTCAAAGAACACCCTGTCTCTAATTCTATCGCCTCTAATATGAATTTTCTTCTTTTAAAGTCTAGGGATTCCATCAAGTTGGATGACCTGAAGGCAGAGGTGTCGCCACGAATTTCAGCAGAAGATCTGATTGATTTGTGTGAGTTGACAGGACCAAGTCATTCCAAAACACCTATAAAGAAAACAAAGTCTAGCAAGCCAAAGCTGCTGGTGGTGGACATTCGTAACAGCGAAGAGTATCCTTCAAATCTGAGTGCCAGCCTTGCCAAATCATGCTGGTGTCAGTTACCTTCTCATTGTCTGCAGGCAGTGAGATGTTAGAATGGTAAATAAGGGAAAGGGATGTGGTAGAGGTACAGTGGAAGAACCAAAGGCAGATTTTTTTTGTCATGGAGAGACCTGGTTTGCAAAGAAGAGGACAAATGTATTTTTGCCTTCCAATTTTAAGCTGTGGGTCTAGTGAAACCACTTTGTACCAGTAGCACAAGTGCTTTAATGCTACTTTTTTTTATGACGGGTGTTGTCAGCAGACCTTCCCCATTTAATGTGACCAGTATTTTGGAAGGGTGTGAGGCTTTCCAATTAAGTGGAAGCAGAGATAGAGAAGAGTTGATAGCTCATCTGTTTTGTCAATCCCTCCGTGGAAAATCAATTCCTATTGAGTGCCTTCTTGCTACTGTCGGGTAATGAAGCCATATGGCTGGCATAAATTATGTTGTCTAGTTAGCTTATGATCAGAAAAGGTATCTTGAAGCTATATTTTTATTAGGGCCACTACCCTGTGTACACCTTACTCATTCGTGCTTTTTCAAATACATAGTTCTTTGCATGTGGAGGGGTTTTTTTTATTGTTTTTCTGAAGTAGCACAGTTATGGGGCTGGGTTTGTTTGGGTTTTGGAAGGGGGAGTCCTTCTTACTCCTGTGCTTTGCCAGGAGCACACATCTTCATCGACATCCATCTGAAAGTGGGAATAATGACAAGATTTTATTAAAGATAACACTTAACGTTATACCGAGTATTTGGGAATATAGTTATTATTGGTTTGTATAATTTATAAGTATTTGTATAATTTCATAAGCATCGCTCCTTTCATAATAGCAAAGGTGATGTAGATAATTGTTTTTGCAGTAGATGTACTCTTAGCTTGCTGTGTCACAAGGTATAATTCTTAATGGGCAAACAATACTCAATGGAAAAATAACAAAAGATTCATGAGTTTTAGTCCACCTTTTACTTTGAGAAGGGAGGATCATTCCTTTTATGTATGTCTGGCTCATTCTTAAAGATCTTCAATGACAGAGATTCAACAGGCTCCCAACATCTTTACCATTAGAAAAGATCTTCCAGTGCCTAACAAATTCTACTAACATACTGCATGCGTATTAGAAAAGTGTAAACTCTAGACAGTGAAGTGAATGGTGGATCAATGCCAATATTTGGGCTAAAACATTTAGTAAAAATTTGAATAAATAATGTTTCAACCTTGTTTTTTTCATCTAGTATGTTAAAATACCACTTTAAAGGTAATTCTATATGCAGAAAAACACTGCCACTAACATTTTTCTATTAAATATTTAGCAATATTTATGACAAAGTATGGTGAAGTAGAAAAATAAATATTATTTTTACTATGTAGAGGTAAATTTATTATTTACATAGTAAAAAGAATAGTATAATTGGACTATTCTAAATTAAAACTGTTATATATTCAAGGAATTATAATTTTATTGTATGCCAAACTTGAACCTGTAATGTGATCTGCTCTGTAGATAAAACAGAATGGTCAAAGTAACACAAAAAAAGTAATTTTTCTTTTGCTTGCATGTATTAATTTCATGCATCAGTTAAGGATTCCAATTAAGTAGAGAGTCACGTGTCTGAGTAGTTTGACTCTTTATTTTCTGGACGCCAGCGGCTTCTTTACTTCTGGACCTAGATAGTTGAAAATGTGGTCCTCTTTATTCAGAAAACAGTAAAACTGGAGGCTATTTTCTGAGAGATAATTTCTTCATCAAGAGATAGTACTTTCTAGACTCCAGTTTAAAAGAGAAGCCCCTGGAATTAAGGACTATAAAAGGTTATTGTTACTGCATAGAAATTCGATACTACCAAGTTAAATAATGTTTCTATTTCTACAGGCATCATTCTGTTGTTAATTATTTAAGCTACTTCCTAGAAATCATCAAGGAGAATGCAGAAGGAGAGCAAGTAATATAAAATGCCTAGACTACAGTCATTGCACTGAAAGGCTATTATCTGTGTACGGTAGTGGATTTATTTATATTATGATCAGGATCAAAGCCAAGGTGTTTGGTTAAACGTTTCTATAGCTTTCCTAACAGCTTGATGATAGGTTCCACTCTACTGGCATACTAATCCTATTCTACTCTAGCAGAGTGGATTCAAAATTTCAATTAATTTAAAATCATTTGACTCCTATGAAGTAAGTGGTTTTATGAGGCTGTCTTTCATATTACAAAATTTTAATCAGACTTTCCATTTATATTTCTTGAATGAGGAGGCATGCTGGAGAGAGACAATCTCCATAGCTTGAACAGTGCACTATAATCACTGTTGTTTCGGTCTAGTTGGAGACTATGGTAGACTAAAATGTCCTGTCCTTTAAATAGTGGGTGGACTTAAATCTTCCTGGTATTAGGAGGTGGGGAATGTCATTATTAAAAAGGCAGCCTGGTAGGTAGTAAAATTACCCATTGAGTGAGTTGGTTTGTATGTCAGTTGTAGAAGAAAACATATAGTATATAGGAAGCTATTAAACTGTCAGCAGTTCTTGAATATGCATGGGCAACCATAGGAATACTGTGCTCAGTGTCCTGTTCATTCTCACAGTAAGGAAGCAGTCTTTGTGTTTGTCACAAAATTTCAAGAAACTGTACAGGCAGTCTGTATGTTACTGGGCCGCGTGTTTTAAAATGTGGCAGAGCACTGTGAGGTGTTTCAAAAATATGATCGTTTCTTAGGTTTTGTTGTTAGTCTTCCTCATTGTCTATGCCTGCCATGCTGAACTTCACTCTCACTTTGCTTTCAATGCAATTCGAAAAAAGCATGAGAGGACTTTCAGCAAGTATCAAACATGCTTCATATTTCATACTAGGATGCACTTGAAAGCTAAGGCATTGTTTTGTAATGAAGCTTATGTTGCAAGGCCACGAGCTACTAACCCTTTTGCCCAATAGACAGCTTTGTAACAGAAGCCTTTCTAATGAAAAGGTAATATACTCAACGCAGTGTCTCTGCTGGCCAGCAGTTCGTCTAAGGCTCATTTCATTAAGCATGTTAGCAGAAATACTGGCAGCCTTCCATTCTTGTTATGACAGTTATAGCTGCATACTTATGGTCTCTCAGTCTGTAGCACAAAATCTTGGCCTTTTTGTTAATTGTCTTAGTACTGGAATGTTTTAAGATGGTGACTTAAGATACGGGAGAATGTGAATGACAGCAAATACAGTTTGGATCCATCTAGTTTGGTACTAATGTTGATATCAACTGTATTTCTTTTCTAAAAGATTAGGTGAAGTTTCTCTGACCAGTTAAGCATACTCAGTGGCATAAGTGTGAGCAACTAAATCAGTCCAAAGTCATTTTCTGTCTAAATGGTGATCATTTCAGAACTTTTACCCTGGTTAGTAGCAATTAGAGTGATGTGGTTATAAACGGGGTTGGGGAAAGGGGATTGCCACAGTTTAGTGAAGGAGGGGTGTCATAATTTTCCCCTTCAAAATATAAACAAACTGACAACATTAATGAATGGTACACGATAATCTTTTGTTCTTTCAAATGTTTTTAAATAGCCATGTTTTTCCCACACTAAAACAATGATGATCATAAAGCTGAAACTGTTATATAAATAATGATAAATGAATGCTAATATTAACCGAAGTCAATTAAATGTTACCTCCATTTAAGGCAGCTCCTTTATGTAAAAGGATTCTGGGATTTAATTATAAATTAAACTAGCTTTCTGCAAGTACAGTAATAAACAGTGACTAATCTGGATATTTGACATTGTATATATTTTTGCAGAACTTTGCTGTTTCCCATCTCTTCAAAGCTATTCTTGTTTACAGCTGGGGAAGGGGAGTGTTCCAGGTATGTGTGTACAGTCTATGGAAGTAATTCAGAGGTTTGTCAAGGTCATGGCGCATTTTCAAATTCATAAAATCCAGGTAGTCATGGTCCAACTTAATTTTTATTGAAGACACTTTCACCTTCAATATTTGTTTATAAAATCTCATTGAATGATCATTGAAAATGAAGCATAAATAACTATATGTGAGTTGCTGGCACTCATATGTTCTTTGCTTTTCAATATCCAATACACACTTGCTGTTAGTGGGACTGCAGATAATATACATAATGCTCATTGTCTTTGAATCTGAGTGCATGGACATGAGAATTTCAGTTTGGATCAAAATTGTAGGGGACTTGCGGGGGTTGGCAGGAGGTTTAAGGAAATTTTCCAATAACCCATATTTAGTTTTGGTTCTCATTGTAAGTACTTCATTCCTTTTGCATAAAACAACTCTGGAAGAGGTGCTCCAGCTGCTTATTGGTATTTGGCTCCTGTTATCAGACTAGAGCTGATTTGAAGTAAAATCCACAAAAATATGTATACTGTGGATATTGGTTCTTTAGACCCAAGTGTTTCATCTAGCAGATCAGTTTCTGTAGTGCTGTGCTATGTCCTTTACGAAACAAACAACTCTTCATTCTGTCCTTTTTTTCTGTGTAGCGTCAGAAGTTGTCTTCTCCATATGAGTAAATAGTAAATGAGGTTTGTCAAAATATACTACCAGAAAAGACCAACACTGTTGTATCATGACAGCCAGGATGAAGAGCAGGTTCATCCCACAGCTGTGTGCATACCACAGACTTCTCTGCCTTTCAGATGTCCTTAACTGATCTTCCTAAGCTTTAATCGTGGCCACATTTCTGGCAGCATCAATGTCCCGTTCGCGTCAGCATTTACTGCAGAAGGGGATCTCATCCAGTGCCCAGCAACTGCTACGCTCCACAGCTTTAAGGGAAGAGTTGTGGTGATTGTAGGAAATGCAGTGAAGAACACAGCTGCTGTAAGTATATTGCTATAACATGTATGTTTATACTTAAAAATACTTCAATGGCATGAATGCAGACAGTAGTAAATAAATGCTAGAGTCTGGATAATTCAGATTAGTAACTTTGGGTATGATGACAGGATTTGAGGTGATTTTTTTGATGTTGTTCATTTCTGCTTCTAGACAAAGACATATTTCTCTTCAAGTGATCAACATCTGAGAAAGTTGATGTTTTGAAATTAAATTATTTAACATTACCTTTTTCAGCTTTAAAATCTTTATTTTTGCCATGTTATAGAAGTGACATCAGCAGTTCTAACGTGCATCAGTAAGATCTAGTTTTCAAAACTGACTTGCATTTACTTTCTGTGGTGTTAGTAAGCACACACAAAGTAATAGGGTGGGGACAGGTATGTTACGAAGTCCAAAGGAAATAAGATATAATTCATATTCCTACTAAAAAAAAAAATAAATAAAACAATGTATTAATTAGTTTTTTAGAATCATTTAGCTCATGCAGTAGTGCTCAGCGAAGAGGAGAATGCTTCCTACTGGTACTTCCGTATGATACTTTTATTGTCTGTGCCTTTAACTAGACAGGGAGAATATTCAGACTTGCCTGTTCCTTTTTATAACTAAATATTTGGTGGCGCTTGTGAACCAGCAGAATAGCAAGTAGAAGTATTTCTTTTGCCATTCTTGTCTCAGGTGAAGGAAAATTACCGTCTTTTTCTTTTTTTTTTTTTTCTTTTTAAGACATGTTCTTAAGTATGGTATGCCTTCAGTTCACCAGTTTCTTAAGCCTGTTTACTCAAAGGGCATGAACTGTGACCCTGATATAACAAGGAGGGCGGTGGACCATTAAAAGGTCTTCATGTGATGAACAGCAGAAGCATCGGCACAACACATGTTGGAGTTTTTTATACATATAGGGAGTTGTAAGTGGTATGAGAAATCCCTTTTGTTAACCTGCGTTTATCATTTAGAAAATGAACTTGTGATATATATCATGTCTCTTAAGTAGTAACAGAGATGGCATAAAAGAGACTGTACAATGTATCTCAAAAAGTTTGTCAGTGAGTATCTAGGTTTGTGCATGAGATCTGGGTAAGCCTATGATAAATATTTCAACATGAAATCAATAAACTTGAATAATCACTATAGCTCACAAAATGCTGAATGCATAAATATCCCCCCCTCAAAGCAATGAATGCAAAATGCATAAAACGCTAAGAGCCAAATGGTAATGATACAAATGACGTTTTACATGTTTGATGGTGGGTTATGCAGCTGCTTTCAACAATTACATTTTTAATCACTGAACATCCTAATTTATCTCAGTAAGAGCCTAACCATTCACTAATCTCCTGAGGAATAGGAACAGGAAAAAGAAGGTGCTTTGGCATTCACTAATGAGTGTCTTTATGGGAGATATCCCACATAATACCAAGTCATTTTCTGGGAGTTGTTTTCCAGGACCAGTCAGAAATGTTTTATCTGAAACAAAGGAACACTGTAAGTATTCTGTCTAAAACAGAACGAAGAAACAACCTGAAACAAGTGTCTGAAGGAAAGAAAGGACAGAGGCTTTACAGTGCGGGTTGTGGGTTACACCATAGCTAAGAAGATACAATTTTATCCTGTAATGTAGTGACACTTCTTGTTCAAACTTAGATTTTTTCAATGTTTTGTTAAACGAAAATTGAGTGTTTCCTTTGCAGTGCAGCTAAAGAAAACTTGCAGTGTGTTTAGTAAGTGCAAATACTTCAGTCAGGTGAGAGGGTGCTGCCTTACCCTCTAAACCCGCACTTCCTGCAACTGAGACAATGTTGACCCGGTTTACCTGGAATTGTCAATATTATAACTTTCCATAAAAGAGAAATGCTGCTTTGCCTCTTGATTTGCTCTTAGAGTTCTTGAAAGTCTAACTAAAGAGTGTGGAGTTCTAAGTAGCAACAAAATACTGGATTGACCAGTTTGAACACAGATTAATTAAATACTGGAGCCTAAATACTGGTAGGGACTCACCACCTCTATCACACCCTTAGAGTACATATAAAACCAGCCTCAATTTGACTGTGTTGATAAAGCTTAGAACTCCTTTCTTTTGTGGATTATTTTTTTAAGGCTAATTTCAGTTTTACTCTGCATGGCTGCATAGAACTGTCTGCCACTATTCATGAACTTAACCTGTCCAAAACTATGTAGCTTGAGGCTTGACAAGTACAATAGCTATTACTTTTTAAATTTTACTAGGTAATCTAATCATATGAAAAATTGTAAAAGTGAATGCGTGGAAACAAACAATTCTGTCCAAAGAAATGTTCTAAGATGTTCAGCTTAAAATGTATTTTTTTCTGAACAGTTATGTATTTCCAGCTGAAAAGGAATGAGCCACAAATTGGACCCTTCACCATAAAGCAGAATTTTTCAGAAGTGTTCATTGATATTTACTCCAATAAAAACATGGAGATTGTGTTAGATGTTTGGTTTAAATTTATGCAGGACTGAGAGAGGTGGGTAAGTGTGAAAAAACACTGATAATTTATGGGGCTATTTGTAATTAGAAGGTTAAATCTTTCTTTCAATTGTGTTTCGTATTAGTAGCCTACTTGGCATCATTTAAATAAATTAAAAATAAAAAAAAAAGCAAAGTTGAGTGTACTGAACAGACGTGTAGAAAAAGCCTTTTTCCCCTTTTCACACTTCTTTTCTGTTTCTATCTTTTGTACTTGATTTGATGCCAGATGATAAAACATTTAAATTGAAAAGAAAATACTGTCTAGAACTTGATAGGCGAGAGGGAAAACTGAAAACTTCACCACAGCACTGTTCCAGCAGGCGGCAAAGGAAGCCAGCAGTGCTGCAGACCTCAGCACAGCTCTGGCTCTAGTTGAACACTTCCTTAGGACAGAATTAAAACAGGGTCATCATGCTTGTTAAGCCATTTAATTTACTCACCCTAACAGTTAAATGAATAGATTGGCTGACCTACAGGAGCCTTATGAATGTGCCATTAGCAGCATAAAGGTATTGTAAAGAGGAGTTTGCACTGGCATCGTGTGGTGGTGCTTGGCTCACACTTCTCTGCAGAACATTCCTTCCTTTAGGCTGGCTCTCACTTTGTGCCAGCCTTTCTTCACCTAGGGGATTCTGGGCACTTGTTAACAGAGCAGATACTTGTTTGTCTTTGAAAACAGCAGGAAAACTACATAAAAGGCATTATGCTGGAGTTAATCGACCAGATTCTATTTTGATTTTTAACTTTTAAATATGTTAAGTGGCAGCATCTCTTAAGTGAATTAAATTCCCCTTTCCCACATCCATTGATAGATAAGTACCTTGTAAATTCCAGTATGGGCAAGGGATCGTTACAGTTGGGAGTATAGTAGTTAAATAGGCAATGAGTGCTCAACTGTAGCTTATTTTTTTGGTGCAAGGCAAATAGCACGTCTCCTAACTTTTGTCACTTTCGTAGTCTGAGATACAGCAAGTGCACAGGCGGATCATGGTTATGTATATGTAGGATGGGGATTGGTTTGGGTCTTTTTTTGGAAGGGTGACATTACTTCTGCATCTCCCCTCCTTCAGTCAGTTTTGGGGTGCTAAGACATCTGTTTCCATTTCCAACTTTTTGTCTGTATTACCACAATGTCGACTGAAATTAGAACAGGAGAAATACCTTACCTGATACTAAATCATGCTCCGGCAACTCAATTTTGACAGTGGCACGCTTCTACTTGTGTGATGTGGTTGTTTAATATATATATGTGTGTTTCCCTAGTGGTTTAATATGTGTTTTATTGTCAGTTAGATGCTGTAACAGAATAAAGTATACAGAACACTTTAATCTGTCTAATAATTAGCAACTCATTTATTTCTTGCCTTGGAAAAAAGACAGCTAGATAAGCTGTAAGTCAAAGCTTAAAAAACATCTATCTTTATAGCAGGGAAATAGATTCCAAATTGTAACTTGTGATTGTTACATTGATTAGTTTTTGTCTAGATAAGTTATGCTGCTATAAATACATTTTCTAGACAATTTCTGCAAGTTACTGAAGCAAAGTAGTCATTCTTATTGCATCACAGTAGCTAATAGATAAAATATATGAATTATCTCCAAAGCAAAGACAAGTAGTACTGATTTTCCATGAGATCTTTCTGACCCTTTTCAAGGCAAGAGGGAGAGGGTCAAGTTCAAGATTCTTTTCCTATAACATGTTCCTAGCCTAGAAAAAATAATTTTTTGTGTATGAAAGTAACATTTTATCTCTCTCAGCACACTACCAAAAATGTGTGTGTTCTTATATGAAGACTGAGACACATAGGTTAGTGTCCATTTACCACTGAATTTGTGTAATTTTGTTGTCACCTTCCTCAGGCCCTTTAAAAAGGCCTTGCCAGAGAAGCAAATCCCTGCATGCTGAAGCTGGTTTCTTGTTATAAACCTGTCTTAAAAACACAAATGGATACCCATGAAACTTCATAGGGTGATCTGAAGATTAGGTCTTGCATAGAATTCTAAAGGGCAGGGGCATTCGTGCTTCTAAAGACAGATATATTTAGTTAGAAGGGCCTAATGAAAGTTCTGGAGTGAAAGTAAATAGAAATTAGGCAATAACTTCTTGATATGTTTCCACTATACATCTTTTAGATTCTACATTTCCTCGTAAATATTCTCTGCAGAAAACTGATTGAACAGGTGGAATGAAAACCGAAGGTATTTTCTCTTTTCAGGGATGGAGGGGCTCCTTATGATTCCCAGAATGGCTCTTTTTCATGTTTGTTTTGTTAAGGCATCACCCTCCCTTCTGCATTCAGACTCAGAGCCTACTGGAATCACCAGGCACCTCTTTGTTGCCTTTAAAGAGGAAGAGATTAAGCTTGTATTTTGAAGACACTGAAAGGCTTAGGTAAGCAGCAACAATCTTCCTGGTTGTAACTCTACCCAGGACATGGTTAAGTCTTCATTATTTTGTTCTGTAAAGTCTGTATTATTTTATTTAGTCCTTTTT